CTGAGTGACTTAGAGACAGATCTCAATATCTAGATAAAGGCATGCACTTGATGGCAGGCCTACTCTCCTGATTCTCAACAACAACCCAGAACACAATTTGGTTTTAAGGACATACGAGCTCTTTTTAAAGACTCCCTCACAACTGATGGGGGAATTATTCCCCTGTTATACATGGACCATTTAGATATAGAGTAGAATTTGGTATTTAAACAACATGATTCTCCATCCAGTAACTACATGGACTTTTCTGGAGCTGAATAAGGGACAACACACTAACTCCTGTTTCTGCACTCCATTCAGAGAAATTATACGGGACACACTCTTTTGTCATTCAGAAAAGGAAAATTTATTATTGCATTCATTATATAAGTTTTACCAGAAATGAAAAAAGAAGAAAAAGTTTCAGTGATTTAAAACCTACAATGGTGGCTCACTCCTTTAGTCCTGGCTACTCGGGAGGTTGAGGCCAGGAGAATCACTTGAGCCCAGAAGTTAGAGATCAGCCTGGGCAATACAGCAAGACCCTGTCTCTAAAAAATAAATAAACAAAATAAAACCTTCAACAGATGTAAAAAACTGTATCTTACATGATTTTTCTGATCTCTCCAAATCAGTCGGTGTGTACTAAGAAGGAGAGTCCCAGCATCAAATTTTATCTAGAAAGAAAGAGCATCACAAAATATTAATAATATACCACTCATTGTGGTTCAGATTTTCTTCTTCATAAATTATACAACACTAAGTTAATCATATAAATAAACATTTTACTTTTAGAATAGGCTTACCACAAAGTAAAGAGAACCAATGCTACATACTTCATAAGCTATCTGTATAGTCTTGACAGAATTAGAAAAAAATGCAAACAACAACCAGGTATGATACACATTCATACTCTGCAATCCATGCAAAGGTTAAAAAGAAATGATGAGGTAGAACTGCATGGATTACCATAGAACTCTAAGACACTGGATGAGTGGGAAAGAAAGTGATTTACAGCAATTTACAATATTACATATGCTGTATATATGTGTGTTTGTAGAAACACAAGTAGTGAAAAGGGTCTAAAAGGAACACACAATTATCTGTTAACAATCATTATCTCAGAAAAAGTGTGAGGAAAGGGGTAGAAGGGAAGTGAAGAGCTCTTTTTTACCTCTACACTTCACTACTGATTGAATTTCTTTGCAACTGAATTCATGTATAACACTCATAACATTTTTTAATAAAAACAAAATCCAGGAATAGATACAAATACATACAAAAATAAATATGGATGGAGATTAAATCAATGGCAGTGGGACAACTGGGTTGCCAGGTAGGAAAAAGAAAAACCCGTATGTCTGGATTTATACCTAATACAATGCACCAAAATGAATTCTAGATGGATCAATCAAGTAAAAAACGAAAAAAATTATAAAAGCACTAGAAAAAAATCATGAGATAATTTTTAAATAATCTGAGGGGAGAAGACCTTTCTAAGAAGGTGTAAAACCCATTAGCATTAAATGAAAACCCCCAAATTCATATGTTGAAGGCCTAACCCTCAACGCAATGGTATTTGGTGATGGAACCATTGGGAGGTGATTAGGTTTAGAAGGTCGTGAGGTGGGGCCCTCATGATGGGACTAGTATCCTTATGAGAAGAGGAAGAGACAGGAGGGCTTCATCTCCATGAACACGTGCTGAGAAAAGACCATGCAAGTACACAAGCAAATGGTGGCCATCTGCAAGCCAGGAAGAGTCTCCTTA